TGTCCCTGTCTGAGTGCTGCTGGCTGTCTTTGAGTGGTGGGCCTTTGTCTCTATCTCCCATCACTCTGTCCACAGCTGGATGTCTTTTATTTCTCCGGCTATTGTGCCACTCTGTGTCACTGAATGTCCAAATCTCTCTCTCTGTGTTTCTGTGCCCCAGAACTTCTGGCCTCACTTTTCATGCACCTTCAAGACCAGGTGTGAGTCCTGGCCTCCAGCCCCCAGATTTTCTTCTCTCCCCAGTACTTTTTCCTTGGGCTGCACCTTAACACCCACCGGAAACTCGGGACCCACCTGTAACCCATGGGAGGCTGAGATGTTCACACAGCCACGTGTCGTCATTCGAGTCTGTTTCCCAAAGCTGCACAGCAGGCGCATGCTTCTCCTGGCTGGTGGCAGTGTGAATGTGGGCGTTCTCTGACCAGCAGCAAGCAAAGCCAGTGCCTTCTCATCCCTACCCTGGACGCTCCCTGCTGGCCAGAGCAGAATCTCCTCTTGGCCACTGCCTGTCTGAGGCTCATGCAGACTTCCCTGTCCCTTTGCAAAGGCTTTGCTAGTTTCCTCTGCTGGGCAGGGGCCACCGCCTTGGTCAGTGGAAAGATAACGTGACTTCTCTTGTTAGATAGAGCCCAACTGTAATGCACATTGCAGCAAGGAACTACTTGAGCTAAATGAGATAGCTCCCTATCCCCAGCCCAGGGTTTCAGATGACATGAAGGGCTGAGAGCTTCCTCTCCCACACCGGGAAGCACCTGGCACCACCGCAGGGAGCACAGGAACAGGGATGAGGTGGGCACAGCCAGGCGGCTGCAGTGGCCTAACCACCATGCTCAGGATGGCGAGCTCTTCAGAGTTGACACAAGGCCCAGCACCCTGGTGATCAGGACAGTGAGGCCATGCCAGGGTCTCCACCTAGATGGAGACAGATCCACCAGGGCCCATTACATTCTCGCAGTCTAAGCCATTTTGCAATTACCAGGCTTGGCAGGCTGGGGTGGCCCCAGAGCTACATTTCTAGCAAGACCCTGGTGACTGCTATTCCTAGCCATGCGAGGCCCAGCCTGGAGCTCCCACAAGCAGGGAACAAGGAGCTCCGCCAGCCCTATCGTGCTTTCCAAATACCATGTGCAGCCTGTTTGTGCTCTCGTCGTGAATTCAGTGGATCACATCTGTGTCTATTCACAATAAGTAGAAAGCCAGCTAAATCGCACCGGGGAGGATGAACACTGTTTGTGTAGTTTTCTGGCTTGTGTGTGTGTCTGTGAACGTAGAGAATGATCTAAGATACATTTTGTACTGAGTCAGTTCGGAAAGTCTGAAAGGCTCACCTCCAAAGAACGAAGCAAATGTGATCCGACTTTTAAATTAGCAAGTGGTTAAGATAATAAAACCCACTGGGAAGGAAACCTCAGAGCTCTGGATGTGTGGAGCAGCTTCTGGTGGGCTCCAGGGCTCGGAGCAGCAGGAACACAGCCACATCCTCTGACATCTGCACAGTCTGATGGCTTGAAGCCCAGTGTGAAGGTTCTCTGGAAGCCCGGTTGTCTCTGCTCTGTGGACTTTTTAACCTTGAGCCTTGCTGGTGAATGGTGTAGGCCTTGGGAAAAAAAGTAGAATATGACTAGAAAGAGTAGTTTCCTGCTTTTTTCCATTTCTTCAGGGAAAGAAAGACCAAACTTTTGTTTTCTTTTTTTAGCTTCAGGAAAATCAACTTTATTGCAGCTGGCACAAACACAGATCCCTAGCACCTAACACGGTGTCTGGCTTATTCTTAATGTACCGTGTAGTTTAGCAGAGGCTGTGGTTCTCATCTGCAGAAGCTGAAAGATCTCCACGTGCAGAGCACGGTGTTCCAGACAGGAGCACAGGCCTCCCCCATCACTGATAGATGAGGACACCGACCTGCACCATGTGTGGGTCCTCCAGCTTGGAGGTGGCCAGGCAGCTGGACGGCTGGGGAAGACAAAGAGGCAGCTGTCCTCCCATCAGGAAAGGCCCAAGGTGGTGCCAGTTTGGCATTTCCCAGCGGTCAGTTGGTTTCTCATAACACTTCCTCTGAAGCACCACCCTTTACAGGGGCCTGACGGGAGCTTCAGTCAAGAGCAGGCCCAGGTGTATCAGCCAGGGACATGACTGTGAAGAACCCAGAGCAGCTGGGGCTGCGGTGTGCTCAGCCACCAGGGCAAGAGGCGGCCCTGCCTGGCTCTATGGAGCCCAGGTGGAAAGCATGGGCAGCAGTCGGAGGGTCTGAGGGTGCTGGGCGGTAAAGGGCCCAAGCGCTGTCACAGAAGTGAAGCTGGGAAGGATGGAGAGAGATGAGTGGATGTTCTGCATCCTGTACACCATCCACCGAGTCCACCAGAAGCCCTGGGGGCCCTGCTGAGCTGACACAGTGGGGAGCAGCACCGGTGCCTGCAGGTTTCTGCCCAGCGGTCAGGGAGGGCAGAGTGAGCTGCCCATCCCTGGAAACAGGTAGGGGAAGACCAGAAGCAAATCTTGGAGTCACAGAATAGTATAAACACTACAGAAATGGAAAAGATTATAGGTCAAGCTGCTGGCTATGATTTTCTTTGTAGTAAGGAATAATACATGGCTTTTATCTACAAAGTTAAGCATTTTTGTTCAATTTTTTTAAAAATGAAGAACATATATAGCTTTTGTGACCATCAGCAGCAGGCTTTCGGTGAAGCCAGCAAAGTTCAGCTTCAGGTGTCCTCCACGCAGACTGAAGCCCGCAGTGAGGGAACATCACTAGGACAGGGTTTACAGTCCCTCCCCATGCTCAGTGGCTAACACCGAGTGGACCCTCACAGCTCACGTAGGAAAGAAGCCTGACGGAGGACCCAAGCTACCAGCAATCCTAAAAGCTTCTTGACCAGTATCACACTATGAGAAAGAAACTGGCACTTCTACATTGTATTTTTTCAATAGTTTAAAAAGTGTTTTAGATGAAACACTGAATTTTTGTCCCTGGAAAATTATATTACTCAGTTGTACTTATGCAAAGAAATGATCAGACTACAGCAAAAGTATAGCAGAAAGTTAGAGGGGTGTTTCAACATTATGTCATGAAATTAAGTTATTGTTCTCCATTCTGTGATGTGCAGCATTTCTCAGCTCCAAATGTTCCCTCTCACAGGAGTCTCCACAGTGGATGCCTCTGTCCCTCCATCCACGCTGGTGCATCCCCAGTGGGCGCCACAAGTGGGATTTCATCTCCGGGTGCCCAGCGTCCTCCAACCCCTCCCCTGACTGTAGATGGCAGCCCCGTCACCCCCAAATTCCTCAATACTTCCTACTGTCTCATTTCTCTATGCTCCTGAGCCGGTGGATAAAGAAAAACACACGCTGTAGTTTTCGTTTACATCCCCCCATCATTAGTGAGGCTGTGAGTAGGAAGTTTACCATTTCTGTTCCATGAAGGGCTTTCATGCGCTGTTTCTTATATGTATGTTTCACATTTTCTCTATGTGCTTTATAATCAGAAAAAATACACATTGAAGAGCAGCTTGAGTATCAGGAGGTATGACTAGGGCAGGCTCCCCGGGGGACTGGCCCGGCCTGTGCGCCTTGAGCACCTCCCCATGCCCACCTCTCCATGTCTTCCCCTGTGTCTGTCCCCATGCCCACCCCCATGTCCACCCCTCTGGCACAGTCCCAGTGCCACCTGTCTTCCTGACTGGGCATCAGCTGCTTTCAGGGAGCCTGGGCTCCTCCCTTCCTGCTCCCTTTGCAGGTCCCACAGTTGAAGCAGTGCTTGGGGAGGGGAGGGGTCACTATGGGAACCCACCCAGGTCACCTGTGTGTAGCTTCAATGGTGTGGAGCAGGTGTGGCTATCCCAGTCGGAGGGGGACGCGCCCTGCCAGGACTCCCCAGGTCTCTGGGTCTTCATTCAGCCTAGGAGGAGGTGCTCCTTAAAGCGCTCTGGGAAGGAAAGCCATTGGGAGCTCAGACTTGTGTGCAAGAGTGATTTGGACATTGTTTGATTAATCTTTCATGCCTATGTCTTGTAATCTGAGCAACTACTTTGAAGATAATAATAGGCAATATATTAACCATTGTTAATCTATTATCTTGTTTTAAAACACTGTATCATTGTTTTTCTCTCTTTTGTGTAAAAAAAAAAAAGAGTGATTTGGAAATGAGAGTCCTCCTGCACCATTCATGCACCCTCAGGCACCTCTTTTGTTTTGTTGCCTATTTGAGAGGGTCTCACTAAACTGCCTGGCCTGGGCTTGAACTTGCTGTTCTCCTGCCTCAGCCTCCCAGAGTGCTGGGATTACAGGCATGTGCATGTGTGTTACCTTTCTAAAGCACAATGATCAGTTCTAAAACACAAAGATCAATCTGACTCTCCTCGGGACGTTCTTGGCTCTTCAGACTTTTGTAAGTTTGAATCAATCCCAGATGGACCTGCACTCAGTGTGCAAAGAGATTTTTGCAAGTCGTTTCCTTTCACACATGATCATGGCTCAGTGCTTTCCTGTGAAATGGCCCCAGACCTGTGAAAGGAAACATAACAGAGACCAGAAGAAGGGAGAAAACTGGCCAAAGCCTATTCTCAGGACCCATTCTGGAGTAGATGTTTGAAAGCTTTCTATTCCCAGGGAAGGGCCCCAGCCCTGCCCACACAGGCGGCTTCACCCACAGAAGCCTGAAATTACGTCCAGGGTGCCCAGCAGGTGTTAGGTGTCAGCGAGGGCCCCTCCCTGGCCATAAGGAAGGTTCTGCCCAGCCTTGCCTGGCCTGGCACTGTCCAAGCCCAGGAGGCTGCTCCGGAGCAGGGTCTCAACCTGACTTCCTGTCCCAGGCATCCAGCTGGAGTCACATTACTCAGGGCCTTGGACCCGATGCTAAGGTAGTGGAGACTTAACCCCAGGGAGCCGCAGCTGGTGACCACACTCTCCCCCAGGGCTGGGCCTGGAGCCCCGTGAAGTGCTCTGGAAGGGAAGCCTGGGGGACATCCACAGCCCCAGTGAAAGTGCTGTCCTCCCTCCAGGTGGTACCATGGTGACCTCACGCGGCATGCAGCAGAGGCCCTGCTCCTGTCCAACGGGCGTGATGGCAGCTACCTCCTGAGAGACAGCCACGAGCAACCGGGCCAGTACTCCCTGTCTGTGCGGTAGGTGTGGAAGGGGGGCCCAAGGTTCACTGCTACCTGCTGACCCATCCTCCCCTCTCAGGTGCCTCGCCATCCCCAAAACCTAAAGACAGCCCCTGCTCCCCATCTGCTGGGAGGAGCCAAAGCCAGAGAAGCAGGGAGGAGTGTGCCTCGCCTCCCTTGGCTGAGAAAGCATCTGAGCCCAACTCCAGTGCACAGCTTGTGTCCTCTGTCCTTCAGAGGCCAGGTCCAGCTGTGGCTGCAGAGTCCACAGTTGCAAGGCCAAGCAGGCAGCTGAACTTGTTCTTGTGAGGGTGGCTTCTTTTCTGAGTTCATTCCCCAGAGGTGAGATGATGACGGTGCCATCCAGGTGACGTCCAGGCTTGGTGCCTCTGCAGCCAGCGTTCTCAACGGGTGACAGTTAGGGAGGGACTGCTGCTCACCAGCCTCTCACTCCGACTTGGCTGGGTTCTGGGACAGGCAGGGAATCTGCCTGGCCCTGTGGCCTCCTGGGGAGGGAGGACTCCCAGGGTTTCCCCTGCCACTCTTCAACCTCAAGCTATGCTCACCAGGTGGCCATCCTGGTGGAGGCACACAGGTCTCTCAGGATCTTACAGGAGCATCCACAGCACTGGGCAGTGTCACTGTCCCCTCTGCTGTCTGACCCTCCTTCTCAGCCATCACCCACAGCTTGTTTATTCTGGGTTGTTTTTCCTCTCCTTTCTCTGATGGGGCACAGAGCTGCTAAGAAAGCGTTTCTCTGAACACCAGAGTGTAAAGACCAAGATCAAACACCTGCATTTACCTGGCTCCAGGCTGGGGCCTCCAGGATTCATTCCCCTGCAAAGAGCATGTTTCCAAACCACACTGGGGTTTAAATCAACATGGGCTGATCACCTCACACTTTCCACCTCCGAAGTCTGAACGGAGTGGACTGGAGTAATTTGTAAACCTTTAATCCCAGCACTCTGGAAGCTGAGGCAGGAGGACTGCTGAGTCCAAGGCCAGCTTGAGCTACATAGTGAGTTCAAGGTAATCCTGAAGAACAGAGAGACACTGACTCAAAAACAAAGTTAAATCACATTAAGCACTTCTTTTTCCCTTTCAGAGCCAAAGATTCTGTTAAGCACTTTCATGTTGAATACAGTGGATATTCATTTAAATTTGGATTTAATGAATACTCATCTCTAAAGGATTTTGTCAAGCATTTTGCAAACCAGCCTTTAATTGGAAGTGAAACAGGTAAGCTGTCCTTGTCCATTTTCTGTTGCTATAACTTAATACCTAGGGCTGACTGGTTTATACAAATAAAGTGCTTATTTAGTTCATAGTTCTGAAAGCCCAAGAGCATGGTGCTGGCTTTGCTCAGCATCGACTGATTCTCTGCTGGGTCAGGGAGGGTGTCATGTGGTAAGAGATGGGACATGGGGGAGAGTCCATCAAGCAGCTCTTGTGACACAAGAACCAGTCAACCCATCACCCACATAAGTATGACCCATCTGTGCACCACTGTATGTTGGTAATGTTCAACTTTTAAAATTTTACAGGGGCTCATAGTTAAGAGTTTGCCTTCAGTCTCAGAGGAAACTTTGGACTTCGACTTTTCAGCAATGCTGAAACTGTCGACTTTGGCGACTCTCAGAGATGGACTAAATTCATTTTGCATTATGAAATGAGCATAAATCTTTTGGGGGCCAGAATGTTATGGTTTAGATCCAGGTTTTTCCCCTGAAAGCCTCATCTGTCCAGAGGTGGGGCTTTTGGAAGGTGATTCACAGCAGATGCTATTCACGAGTGGCTGAATTCAGAGCTGAATGTGCTCTTACGAAGTGGGCCTGCTTGGAAGAGGAGGACACTGGGGGAAGGAATGGGGAGCGTCTACCTCCTTCCTGGCTCCTCCCTTCTCTCCACTTCCTGGCTGCCAGGAAGTGAGCAGCTTTCATCTGCTAGGCCCCTCGACCATGCTGACAGACCATGGACTGTAACTGTGAATCCAAATAAACCTTCCCTGTATGTTGCAGGTATCAAGTAGTTTGCTCTACTAGCAAGAAAGTGAGTAAGACACTGTGTTCGTTAGCTCTCCATCACTATAAGCAAACCTGAGATGGTCAGCTCATAAGGAGAAATGGTCTTTTTGCCTTGAGATTTCAGAGGCTCTGGTCCATGGTCTTTGGCCCCACTGCCGCTGGGCTGTGGCAGGAGTGTGTAGTGGGGAAGTTGTTTACCTTAGGCAGCCAGAAAGCAAAGAGAGGGCAGGAAAACTGGTCCAGAGGATGGTCTGTGACCTAACTTCCTTCACCTGCTAGCCCTCAGCTCCTAAAGCTTCCCTTGCTGCCTAAAAGGGCCAAGGTGTGAACACACAGGCCTGCGAGGGTCCTTCTAAGTCCAAAGCGTGGCACACACTGTCCTGGAACCAGAGTTACCCAGGTTGTCCATTTAATAAATGTTGATAAAGCTCAGTTAATGGAAGACTGAGCAGGTCCAAGAACCTCAGCCCCCAGGGAACTTGCACTTCATAGCACGCCTGTTAGCATGAGTTGCTATTGCTTGTTTTCTTGGTACACCTCTGGTGGGCTTTCTGCTAACTTTAGTGTGGAGGGAAGAGATGCCATCATCGGCTGTGCCTTTCCTCTCCTCGTGTGGCCTGGGTAGACCCCAGTCATACAGAATCATATGGTATCTAACAGAGAAAAAGTCAGTGGAAAGTATAGCATGGTTGTTTTGCTTTGTACCAATAACACCAGCTTTATGATAGAATATTCTCAACTGTAAAATTGAAGCTATAATCTTTTTTTAAGTGAAAATTCTCTCAGTCAGCCCCCAAAATTACTTCCCTGCTTAGCCAGTAGTTGGTCTCATACACAATGGCAGGGAGGGTTAGATTGGCCATTGTTGCCTTGGCCGTGCCACGCATTTCACAGTCCCAAGCCCTTCACTGCCCGGTTAGCTCCAACTTCTGTCCAGCCCCACTTTGGATTTCATTCAGTTCTGAGTCACTGGAAATGAAGAGATTTTTGAAACCAGGGCTTTGCCTTGACCACCTGGATTCTTATTCTTCTTTCCCCCTGCAGGCCCTGGTCCAGGGGGGCCTCTTGGGGTGATGAATAATGGATGCACGGATGACTACAAGGGGACCTCCAAACCCACCACAGTTCCTTTCTACCTTCCCTTCAGTTCCCTGTTTGGAACTCTCTTCCTGGACTCTATTTCAGTCGCTCTTATCAGTCCCAGGCTCCTTCCTGGAGCTCCTCAGGGACCAGGAAAGGGACCTTCTGTGCCCACTGACAGAGTTCAGAGTAGTTGAAACTGAAGTCAGGGTTGCATGTTCTAGTTGGACCATCCTTACCTGGTCCAGCCCCAGACCAGTGGGTCACTGAAGGCTCCTCCAGAGTATTGGCACGCGGACAACTTTCCTGAAAATACCTGATTTTGACTGAAGAAGGCTTCCGATTAGCGCAAGCAGGGTTGTAAAGATTTATGATCTGGGCTTTAACAGTAATTTCTCCAAAACCAAAACTTCTCACATATTACTATAATGGCTATTTTATGCATCCCAGGAGAACTCAGGAGTAGGATGGTCTTGCTGCCCTCTGCCTCTCCCTGTTCTCACTCTCCAGCAATGAGCTCGCTGCTGCCTGGACACCGCTCCAGGCACTGATGCTGCCGGTCCTGTGCCGGACTCCCTGGCTTCAGCCCTTGCATTTAGATTCTGATCTCGTGCTCCTCTTATCTGTCCCGGCCAAATGAGGGCCCAGAGCAGAGTGCGTGACAGATCAGCATTCCGGTCCCCGGGGAAGCCAGTGTCTCAGGAAATAAGATAATGTGCTGGGTCACAGTAGATGTCACGCCAGGCTCTCAGAGTCACTGCTGGGGCCTGCAGGTTATGGTGAATGTTCTCAAAATAGTCCTTTCTCTTGGTAATTTTAGAACTGGCTCCTGGCATTGGCTTGCAGTGACCAGGAGTGCTGGAGCAGAGGATCTCCTGTGCATGCTAAGATGAACATAGGTCCTTCTCATGGTTCATGTTTGACTAAACCACCATGGCAAGACTAATCCACCCCATGAGGAGGTGCTGCCTCAGCCTCCTACCAGACTACCAGAGTGAAAAGGAGTAACACTGGATACTTCTGGCCACTCTGACCAGCCAGGGCCAGGCCAGGCCTCACTCTGTGGCCACAGTGAGCATGGCCAAATAACCAAAGGCTCACTCTTTGTCTGCCAGTTGTATATTCTGTTGCCAGTATTATTATAGTAACTTTTTCCCATTGATGAGACGAAATACCTGATACCCAAAGTTAAAAGAGAAAAGGTTTATTTAGCTCACAGTCTGTGGAGGTTTCAGTCCATACTCGGCTGGCTTCAAGGCAGGGTGGCACATGGCAGAAGGGTAACAGTTCATGGCAGTGGAAGGTACCAAAGCATGCAAAGGACAAGACAAGCCTCTCCTCACCCCTTATATTGTATGCAGGTTACTTGCCCTAGGGTGGGCATAACAATCACACCCTTAAACCTAGCCAGAACTATGCCAAACCAAGCATCGGACTAATTTACTAATCACACACCCTTAATCTCAGCATCACACATTCTAGATCCAGCCACCTCTGAAGAGTCCCCACCCACAACTACATGAGGCTTTGCAGGGACATCTAGACACAAGCCATAACAAGTATGAAACCAGAATACTTATTCTGGGTCATAGGAAAATCTTTGCTCTTGAGATGGTGAAAGTAAGCCGGACATGGTGGCATGTGCATATAATCCCAGCACTCTAAAGGCTGAGGCAGGAGGATTGCCGAGAGTTGAGGCCAGTCTGGACTCCATAATGAGTTCAAGGCCAGCACTGACTGCATAGTAAAACCCTATTTAAAAAACAAACACTGTTAGAACAAGCATTATCTTCTGTTCGCATTGCAATACTTGGTTATGTGAAATTGTCCTGTACAACTTGCCCCATGGTGTGGTGACTGCAGGGAACTCTGTCCACGTCTAACATGTGTGTTTGCCCGTTAGGGCAGCTGCCTGTCAGGTCTGAAGATCCTATATAAACAGCACCCTCATAAATGCCAAATTTCCACTTCTGTTTTTGTTTTGACATGGGGATTCCCAATTTTTCACAGTGGCTACAGTTATTACTACTTTCTTTTGTGACACCAGCCATGTTTCTCAGGTAGCATTTTAAAATGAGTCAAATCCATCTTAATTTAAGAACTATGTGGCACTTCTGCAAATGAGTGACCACTCAGAATGCTGCCAAGCCACAGCCAGGAATTGCTTCTTTAGCTCATGTGTGGTGAAGGTGGAAGCTCCTAGTTTGCAGATGAGATATGTTTGAAAAAGAAAAGGAGACAAGTGAGGGATGGAATGGCCATTGTGGGTGTCGGCTGAGTTCCAGACCTGCATCCAATGTCCTCAGAGATACCAGATTACACTCCTCAGATGCCCAGCGCTGTGTGTGGTCTCCCCTTCCATGGGGAAATAGTGTGCTAGTGGTTTAAGTTATTTCCCAGGCTGCACATCCGGGCACCGGGCTGAGCTCCTCTTGCCGCTTGCAGCTGGGTTGCTGTGACTGCACAGGGCTTAGATCGTGGAACCATGGGGCCTCTGTAGCTTTGTCTGAGTGGAATCCACTCTGCACTGTGACAGCTTGTGGGACACTGGAGCACAAGCCAGGCCCAGCCCACCCTCATCCTCTGCACAGTAGAGTGGCTTAGTATGTGTCTCTCTATTGTCACTCTTCTGACCAAGTCACAGAATTACTTTGAGGAAAGCACACTAGAGGACATCGGCCATCAAACACGCAGGCCCAACACGTGCATGGCTGTCCAGAGAGCCCATTAAGCCTGCGTGGCTTAATGGGAGGTGGAGTGATGTCTCCTATATAAACTCCTATATAAACAGCACCCTCATAAATGCCAAATTTCCACTTCTGTTTTTGTTTTGACGTGCAGGGTGGTGGAGTGATGTCTAAGGCTAAGCACGCATCAGGTGTGGGCAACTGTGGAGGCAGAGACAGGACCGTGTGTTCACAAGGAGCTGTGCAGTGTGGAGCCAGGCTTCCTGGCATTGCTCCTCCCTGACTTGGCTCAGCAGATTTAACCAGAGCTCCAGGCCAGTAGAGCTGGGGGAAGCTGGGGCCATTTCAATTCTCCTTCACAGTGGAAGAAACAGGCCTGGTGTGAAAGGCGAGAGCAAGGCCTCACATCTCCTGGTGGGTCCGTGTTTGCAGACCCGGTTTGTGTGTG